TTAAAATTTAAAATCTTGTTATGTTTTCTAGTTGTTGATCAGTTTATGATTTAAGAAAAATGTTCTTAGATAAAGAAATTCTTATCTTATTATATAAAACCTAACAGTTCTAAGATCAACATATAATTTAATATCTGGAATATATCTTACGCATAAGGTTGTAATCCTAGATATTAAAAGAAAACAAAATATTTTTTTTTTTGAATTTTTGAAATATTAGCTAGTTCTCATGACTTTAATTAATTGGTTATTAAAATCAAAATACATGCTAATTTTTTCTATGAAGATACAATATGATATTTTTATTATATATATATATATATATTAGAGAGATTTGGCCATATACATAAAAACAAAATATTTTATTTTTTATTTTTTATGTTTTGATGAAAATCAGGTATTTCAATATCAGATTTTTATCTTTACAATATAAAAATACAAACCAATATTAATCAAAATACAATAAAATATTTGCAGAAAATTAAATATTTTTTTTAAAATAATTTTTGAATTTTTTTGGGCCGGGTCAAACCCGGCCCGTATGGCTGGCTGGGCCTAGCCGGGTTTTTTCCCTTTGGGCCGGGTCAAACCCGGCCCGTATGGCTGGCTGGACCTAGCCGGTTTTTATCCGTAGGTGCGTGAATTGTTCCCTGCTCCTTCTCGATCTGCCTCTCTGTTTTTTCTTTTCTTTTCTTCTGCCCTGTTCCCTGGTGCAGCTGGAGGCGAAGCTGTTGCTTGGGGATGAAGACGATGGTGAAGCTGATAGGTCGAAGCTACTCTCTTCTTCAGTTCTTCTTCTATTCTTCCTTCTCTTAGTATTTTGCTTTCTGTGTATTTTTAAATCTTTTTACCTCCCTCTTTTTTCCTTATGCTCTCTCCATCTCTCCTCTCGGGTTCTCCCTCTTTTTTTCCCTTCTCCTTTTTTTCTCCCTCGTCTCTATCGTCTCCCCCTCTCTGTTTCTGTTATCCCCCCTCCCTTGTCTCGTTCCCTCTTCTGGCTTTTATAGCCAGAGGATGCATGCGTTATGGCATGCATATGGTAACGGCCGGCGTGAGAGATGCTCCCCTGGAACAGCTCCACTGTCTCTGTAAAAAACCGCTTCCCCTGTCTTTTTATTTCCAGCCGTTTCTTTCTTTTGAAGAAGACCATGAACAATGCGCGCAAGTCTTAATGCAACGGCGCCGTTTTCAATTTCAAAATGATATTTCTTTTTTTTTTTTTTTTTGATTTACGTGAGGTGTCCGGGTCAACTTACGCGCACCACGACTAATCTCCATGGCCCACTGAACATCCTGCAAGCCCAATGAACAAATAAGGCACCGCAGGGGTGACAAGCGTGCATAGTAAGGTTCGAACCCAGGTGCGGAGGAAGGGGACAAGCCCCTTCCACAGCTAGACCAGAACCTCACTTGCCAAAATAATATTTCTGATTTGTTCCTTAATGTTTTTTTGACAATTTTGTAAGCAAGTCGCTGAAAATATTTTACTTGGATCTTTTGATTTTAATACTTTTCAGTTTGATTTTTAATTTTTAATTATTTTAATTAAGTTTTTAATTAGTTATTAAACTTCAATAATTATATAATTAAATTTTTTATTTGACTAAATCAACTTTTTAAAATTATAATTAAACCCTAAAATTTTTAATTTCTTTCAATAAAAACATAAATTAACTTAAAGATCAATTTTTTTATCATCCAAATCTTTATAAATTCAATTATCCTTTAGATAAAATTTAATTAAATCTATAAATATCTAATTTTAGATTTTTTTTATTAACTTGAATTTTTTTTGTCAATATAACTCTTATAAGTCAAAAATATACTGTTAAATTTTAATTTTTTATATTTTTAAATTTTCTCAATTGATTTTTATCTTTTTCGGTATCTCAACATACTTTTCTCGTTTGTATTAACTTTTAGATTTTTTTTAATATTTTTTGATATATTTTTTTATTTTATTTTGTGAAAACCTGGTGCAGGCTGTGAACCTATCGCTGAGGTGCAAGAAGGTGTGTTTGCTTTTTCCTTTTTTCATTTCTTTTTTATTTATTATTGTGCTGCTTTTGAGGTGGGAGAAGCTTGGTTTTCTGCTGAGTGCTTATACTTTTGTTCCTGATTGCAGACCTTGTTGTATAGTATTGTATCACCGCATGAATACTTTTTAGAGCCTTTAATTAATGCTGTATTTAATGAGGGGAACTCATAATCCACTATCCATATGAGATGACCTTGATCCCACCAATTGTGCCCACTGATCCAATGAACACTGGGCTTCAGGGAACTCATTTGGCAAGTCTCCCTTCACTGGCATTGATTTATCCTAACTTCAAATGTTTTACCATTTGAGTTGGCTCTGTAAACTTTTTTCATAATTCAAGTCTTTCTAGGTTCCCTTGTTTCACCAAACCAAGATATGACCACACCCCCAAGCTCATTGACTGTAGTTGGAGTTGCCTCTTTTCTACTTTTTTCTTCTCTTCTTACTGTCTAGCATCCTGTTAGGTATTTTATTCCCCCAAGTAACCACTGATACGCTTTTTCAGAAAATTAGGAATGCTTGCTTTACTGAAGCTCAATATAACCAATGACATTATATGAATGTAACTCTGGTCTAATTTTGCTTATTCTTGCTCTCTAATTTTACTTTGAGCTAGTACATCATTTTGCCGCCCCTCCCAATATTTCCGTACAGTTCCTGTACTTTTTTTTGGTTAAATCTAATGCAGTGGGGGCATTACTATGTTTCCTTGTTGACTGATGTTGCCGTTTGGGGTTTTGTCCAGCCTCGGTTGTACTAAATTTTGTCTAACATCCCTTTTTTATTTACTTGTTAATAGGATTCCCAAAGTCTTGCAACGCAAGAAGTTATTAGTGCTGAAAATTATGGTAATCGATGTTGTGAGTTGAGTAGCCCTGTTCATTCTCATGGCAAACCTTCTATCCTCTGAAAGGGCAGTCCTTTATTAAAGTCGAGCCTGACAAGCTTAGGAAAGGAGACTACAAGTAGCTCGTGGTTAAGTTTAGATTCACATGCGCCTGTTGACTCTCCAAAAATGAAGGCCGTGCATGGAAAGGGCGAAATTAATGAATGCCAAGCTGCCAAAAAATTATCTTCATGTTGTCCCAATCGATTGTGCAAGAAGACTACACTGGGCACAAAAGGTAAAACACAGAAGCTTGTTTGTGACATGGCACAGCAACTTTGTCTGGGTCCTCTTGCTTTTTCAACACTGAGGAAACCCAGGAAGTGTACTTGCCTACAAATACAAATTTGGGCACTCGAAACGGCTGCTGAAAATGGTGGAACAAATACAAATTCAGGCACCGGAACAGCCACCGCAAATGACAGATGCGATCATGATAAGTTAGGTTGATTGCTGCTTTTTCAATAATTCGAGCAGTTATTTGATGAACCTGAGTTATCTATTTGTGTTCCTTGGAACTTGCTGAAATTGACAATTGAGAATCTCTTGTCGAAGCTGGACTACAATAAGTGCAGAGAAATTTGATTGACATCTACTTTCTGCCTTGCCAATCTCTTACCTCGGGAGCCATGACATTTAACAGATGCTAAAAAAGTTAGGAAGATTTTTCTTCTTGACCCTTTCCATTTATTATGTATATATTTTCTGGTATATACCATGAGTAAATGTTTTGTTTGTAAATCTCCACATCCCAATTCTGGTGGAGACAACATCGTGAAGTTTTGTGAAAGGGTAGCGTTAAAGGTAATAATGTTTTAGCAAAACTGTTCTATTAATTCAGTAGCAGCTTGTCCAATGTACTGTGTAACTGTGATGTATAGAGTTGCCTATTCCCTTGCCTTCATCTCTTGTAAAGGAGCAAGTTTGCTTAAAGAGGCTGTTAATGATATTTGAGGACTTGGTCCTTCCTGATGCACCTTTTCTAGCTCAATGGAATTTTGGTTTTCTTTAGAATCTTCAAATTGTTTTTTTTTTCTTCCATTGAAGTCTTATTATTCATAGGAGATAAAAGATCGATTTTTATGGAAAAGAACATATATTTTTCTTGCGAGAGAGAGAATATCTTGTTAAATATTGTGTTGTAGTTTGATGTTTGTTCATTTGTTGAATTGGAATGGTGTTGATATCATTTTAGTATGCTTCTGAGCATTCCTTTATCAAAGTTTGTTAATAAGAATGCATCTAAGTAGATTATAAATCTTTTATGGCTAGTTGATTTGAAAATTCTCTTTCGATTCTGTGTTGCAGTTACAAGATTGTTTGATGAATTGAGTGTTCAGCTTTCTATGTTCTTAATTTAATCAAAAGAAGGTGCTTCTTGAAACGTAGATTTCGTTTGGGTAAGGGCATGTTTTTGAATTATACCAACTTTTTCTTGTGTAGTTTCTTGTATTGCTTCAGAGGGTATTTTGGTTCATGAGACATGCATATGTAGCTTGTTGTGAAGGCCTTAACTGGAGTAATAAGCATGATGGCTCGCCTTAGAATGCAGAGGCTTGGTAATTGGTTCAAGCTCGTTGTTCTCTCTTTTTGTTTGATCAGAATGGTCGAGTTTAGATTAAATGATGAAGGGACAGAGCCCTAAAAGGCTAAAACTACAGCACCAAGCCATGGAGGTGGATCACTTGGTGGGTTAAAGTTGATATTTCTTGCTTCAAGAGAATCCTAGTCGCATAGCCGCATATACCCTTCAGTAATGTGTGGCATCTGTCAAGTGACTGCTGTCCACTGCTACCCGAGTCTCCAACTGAGATCACGCGGCCACATCAGGTTATTAGTCATTTAATTAATAACAAAAAATGAATTAAATACCACCATAATCATCATTAACCTCGTATTAGACTTAAAAATATCATGGAAAATGATTTAATTACAAACAAAATCTATGTCTATTAATTTATTGATGTCTCAAGCAATCTCCCAACGGTCAAAATCCTTATCCCAAACCTCATCCACTCTCTTCCTTTCCCTCCACTCATTTCTCCTCTCTTTTCCTCCATACCATGAACAAGAAAAAGATAAGCCAATCACACAAAACAGCTCCTCACCATAGCCTAAAATTCCTCTTTCACTTCTCTTCTCCTCTCGTGGTTACCTAGCCAGAGCCCCAACAAGTTCATCACCACAATGTCTTGCTCAAATCTGACAATGTTGGTGTCCTCAAAACCTTCTCTTTCTGACACCACTTCACTTTCCTTTCGCTCTTCTCTCAGCCCTTTTCAGCTTCCAAGCTCACCTGCTGCAAACAACCCTTCAAGATCCTCTTCTGTGACCCCAATTCACTGTGGTCTTCGTGAGCTTAGGACTCGTATTGAATCAGTGAAGAACACGCAGAAGATCACTGAGGCTATGAAGCTTGTTGCTGCTGCTAAAGTGAGGAGAGCACAAGAAGCTGTTGTTAATGGTAGGCCTTTCTCTGAAACTCTTGTTGAAGTTCTTTATAACATCAATGAACAGCTTCAGACTGATGATGTTGATGCCCCATTAACAAAAGTTAGGCCTGTTAAGAAAGTCGCTCTAGTTGTTGTTACTGGTGATAGAGGACTTTGTGGGGGTTTTAATAATTATTTAATCAAGAAAGCAGAAGCAAGAATTGCAGACTTGAAGCAGCTTGGAATTGACTATACTATTATTAGTGTTGGAAAGAAGGGCAACTCTTATTTTCTTCGTAGGCCTTATATTCCAGTTGATAGGTTTCTTGACAAAGGTGGTCTCCCTACAGCTAAAGAAGCTCAAGCAATAGCAGATGATGTCTTTTCACTGTTTGTAAGTGAGGAGGTTGATAAAGTGGAACTTTTGTACACAAAATTTGTGTCACTTGTTAAGTCTGAACCTGTTATACATACCTTGCTTCCATTATCACCAAAGGGAGAGATTTGTGATGTGAATGGGGTGTGCGTTGATGCAGCCGAGGATGAGTTCTTCAGGTTGACAACAAGAGAAGGGAAATTGACTGTAGAGAGAGGTGTTAGTAGGACGGCAACAACAGATTTCTCACCAATTTTACAGTTTGAGCAGGACCCAGTTCAGATTCTTGATGCCTTGTTGCCTTTATATTTGAACAGCCAGATTTTGAAGGCATTGCAAGAATCACTAGCTAGTGAGCTTGCCGCTAGGATGAGTGCTATGAGCAATGCTACTGATAATGCATCAGAATTGAAGAAGTCCCTTTCCATGGTTTACAATAGGCAGCGTCAGGCCAAGATCACTGGAGAAATATTGGAGATTGTTGCTGGTGCCGATGCTTTAACCTAATCATGTTAGCCCCCTCCACAATTCTGCATCTTTGTAGGTAAAATTCAAGGATGATTGCTTACTCATTCAAATATGCCTGTTTTAAGACAGTTATGAGATGCAATGCTTTTTCCCCCTCCCTTTGTAATTCTCAAATCGCCTATAAAAATTCTGTGCACAATGAGATATGCAATGTATCTTGCAACAGGAGCATTCTGCTTGTTGATCTTTGTGCTTCAGCTTCTTTTCCTCTGATATCTGTACTACTTGTCCTTTTAAGAGGTTTCATTACAGGGATGTCCTATGTGTGTTCCACTATATGTATAGAATGTTACTGCAGATCTTCGTCCTCGTTGTAATTTGATTTAATCACAAGGGTTCTCGCTTCTTTAATTCCCATTTTCCTCAGGTTTCATAACTCTAAATGACTGTAAGATCCATTGAGCTCAAACAAGGCTGCTAAATTTTTGAGTTCAAGCTGTAAATTCCAAAAAGCTGCTGTTGGTCATCTGTTCTTACTTGGATGCCTCTTAGTTTGCCAATGAATTACTGCGAGCCTTGTGATTGGTTTAATGGAAGAGTTACTTGTGCAAATCATTTATTTTAAATGATTTCAGGAATTCAGTACTCAGAATGCAATTGAGAGGCAAGTTTTTGAGTCCTCGCCATTAAATCTGGCATCCCGAAGAACAAATAATTTTCAGCTCTTCTGATAATTTCAGATTATTAATGACTTGCACACATTTTACAAGTTCTAAGAACTCCCCAGAACGTTTTTTCAATGGAATTATTTTACATCCAAAACCTTCTTTCAAACAGCAGATTCCATTATCAATTAATGCTTTTGTCCTTCCACCTCCATGTCTCAGACTGACAATAACTGGCATGCAGAACTCTTCGTAACCTACGAAGCTAAAGTCATATACATCTGTTGCAAGCGTTTTCATATTCTGATTTGACCTCTTAGGCTCCCTTCAACCCCATATCATTTTGATCATGTAGTTGTCGTAGCATTCGACAAGTGGTGATTAGCTAAAGAATCTATTCTATCCAAAGCAATTGTAAGGTGGTCACCACATTTCTGATCATTTGTGGTGATCCAACCTTTGCCTTAGCCTTGATGAGTTTACAGTACACTTAAGCCATGTGGGCGCAACAAGATGTCGTTTTATGTTTTTATATTTTTCCTGAAAATGATGTTTCTGCAATTCAACAAGTCATCTGCATTGCGGTGATACGCCCTCTGCCTCAAGAAGAGTTTCGCTCTCGAGAACACTGTTGAAAGAAAGAAGTCCAATAATCAGAACAATCACGATAACGTATTGCCACATAAATTCCACAATTTTCTGAGTTGAAGAGCCTTTCTTAAAGAGGCAGGAACGTCCAAGCGAATGAATCACTTGGAGTTCTTATCAATGATCGAACCTGTTGTGTTACTTGATAACATCACTGAACCCGACAGCCCATAGAAGAATTGTTATGTTACCTTACCACAGCTCATTGATGATTGGTTTACAAATTCAAACAACTCCTCAAATCTTAATTTATGAATGTTACTACAAAAATCAGCCACTCAAAACAACATATGCATTGGTTAAAATGACATGATTGAGACCAGAGTAGTTTAAGTGATGACAAGTTTGATAATTTTTTTCGCTAGCAAAAATGGAAGATCTTTACAACATCATCTAGGATTAGAAAGAACTGATGCTGGTGGCGGTGCTGAAAGAATATAGTCATCAGCAACAGGAGGTGGTGCCAGTGCATGTGAAAACTTATACACCAGGTTTGAATCTACCTCCATGACACCCTCCAACACCTTTACAACTGTTGACATGAGAGGCCTTTTTTCTGGATCATCCTGCAAACACCAAGCAGCAATCTTTATCATCCTGATTATTTCATCTCTATCACTCTGCATATATTCGTCTAAAAATTCCAAAATGTATTCAGCTTTGTTCTGCAACATTCTAAGCAAATGGAAGGCAGACTCTGGTTGCGAGTGATCAACGCTTCTGCGTGCACAAACTACTTCCAGTAGTACAATTCCAAAGCTGTATATGTCAACTTTTACTGTAATGTGACCTAATGCTTGATGCCATTCTGGAGCAAGATATCCAGGGGTTCCTCTCATTGAGAGTTGAACTTGGCTCATCTCCCTATCAATCAGCTTAGATAGCCCGAAGTCGGAGATTTTGGCATTGAAATTTGGATCCAAGAGTATGTTCTGCGGCTTTATATCCAGGTGCATGATGGTCTGCCGGCATTCTTCATGAAGATACGCCAGCCCTTTTGCTATGTCAAGTATAATCTTCTTTCGTGTCTGCCAATCTAGGGAAGATCCTTGTATTTTCTTAAAAATCCAATTGTCCAATGAGCTGTTACTCATGTACTCATATACTAAAAGCCTATACGATTTCTCTGCACAAAATCCTATCAACCTTACCAAGTTAAAATGGTGCAGACTTCCAATCGTCTCAACTTCTGCTAAAAACGCCCTCTTTCCTTGGCCTAATTTATCCAAACGCTTCACAGCAATTCCTGTTCCATCTGCAAGTACTCCTTCGAATACAGACCCGAAGCCTCCTCTTCCTAGTGTTTCCTTGAAATCATTGGTTGCAACGCGTAGATCTTCATACGAAAACCTGACAGGCATTCCT